TTGTGGTATGCGGGCCTCTCACTGTTGTGGCCTCTCCCGTTGCGGAGCACAGGCTCCGGATGCGCAGGCTCAGCGGCCACGGCTCACGGGCCCAGCCGCTCTGCGGCATGTGGGATCTTCCTGGACCGGGGCACGAACCAGTGTCCCCTGCATCGGCAGGCGGACTCTCAACCCCTGCGCCACCAGGGGAGCCCCCTTTGCCCATTTTTAAATTGGGTTCTTTTTATTATTGAGTTGTAAGAGTTCTTTGTATTGTAGATACAAGTCCCTTATCAGATATAGGATTTGCAAAATTTTTCTCCCACCGTGGGTTGTCTTTTCATATTCTTCATGGTGTCCTTTGGAGCACAAAAGTTTCTTTCTTTCTTTGGATTATTTTTTAAATATTGAAGTATAGTTGATTTACAATGTTGTGTTAGTTTCTGGTGTGCAGCAAAGTGATTCATATGTATATATATATGTACACACACATATATGTACATATTCTTTTTCATATTCTTTTCCATTATGGTTCATTGCAGGATATTGCATATAGTTCCCGGTGCTATACAGTAGGTCCTTGTTGTTTATCCGTTTTATCTATAGTAGTTTGTATCTGCTAATCTTAAAATCCTAATTTATCCCGCCCCTCCTTTACCCTTTGGTAACTGTAAGTTTGTTTTCTAGGTCTGGAGCATAAAAGTTTTTAATATTGATGAAGTCCAAGCTATCTTTTCTTTTGCCGTTTGTGTTTTGGTGTCATGTTTAAGAAACCATTGCCTAATCTAAGGTCACAAAGATTTACGCCTGTGTTTTCTTCTAAGAGTTTTAAGTTTTAAGCTCTTATATTTAAACCTTTGATCCATTTGGAGTTAATTTTTGTATGACCAGGGATTGAACCTGTGCCCCCTACAATGGAAGCATGGCATCTTAACCGCTGGACCACCAGGGAAGTCCCAAGTTCATTACTGAGGTGCTCATTAGTGTCAGCTTTGGGGTTCCCTGGCCACACCCTCTGTCTTCTCAGGTTTCTGCTCTTCCTCTTCTGAGGTACACCCTGGGGTAGATGGTTGACCCACCTGTTGGGGCATCACAGCTAAAGAGGACTCTTACTCAGAAGTAGGCAGGGGCAATTCAGCTTCTCACACACAACTGCATATCCAGCATAAGTGCCAAAATAATAAAACAGTAGCTAAAGTTCATCAAGCATTGACTATTTGCTAGTTAGATCTTTAATCCTCACAACAACTCTTTTTATAGAAGGGAAAGCTGAAGCTCAGAGACGCTAAGTAATTTCCCCAAGGTCACACAGCTAATAAATAAGGAGCAGAGCGAGTATTCAGCCCCAGAACCTTTCTCCGAGGCCTTAGGATTAAGAGTTCCCCTGGGGGAGCCCCGTCACAGAGAAGACAAGTAGCCAGAGCCCAGTTCTGCGGGTGTTTTGGTGAATGTGGCTGTGTCAGCTGCAGGAAAATGAATGATGGGGCAAGGGTGGGGGATGGTGAGGAAGGGCTCAGAGACCTGGGATCATTTTGTGAGTACTGTGTGTGTGCAGCAGTCCTTAGAGCCCACGTTTTACATGGCTGCAGTCACTATCCCCATTTCACAGATGGGATAGCAGAACCTCTGAGTTTCAGCAGCACAGCTAGTGGAGCCAGAATTTGGACACGAAGAATGCTTAACCATGATCCTCTCTCCCGTGTTTCCTAGACCTAGTCATTTGCAGTTCACCTTCATGATTTTACCATTTCTGTGTGCCATAGGTACTATTATTTACTTAATACTTCCTTTTAAATCAATCCACTTAAAAAAAAATAAAAAGCCTCATTTTAAAGTGTAATATTCTTGGGACTTCCCTGGCGGTCCAGTGGTTAGGACTCTGCGCTTCCACTGCAGGGGGTGAGGATTCATTCCCTGGTCGGGGAACTAAGATCCTGAAAGCTGTGCGGCGTGGCCAAAAAATAATTAACTAATTAATTAAATTAAATAAAACTAAAGATCCTGTTTTAAAAAAATGTGTAATACTCTTGGAACCTTGAGTTTGATGTTACTCAGACACACATACACACATACATCATACGTATATATTTCTAATACATATATATATGTATATGTGTGTTTGATACACATTCAAATAACTAATAACTATGAAACATCAAAAACCATTACCTGTACGGTTGACCCTTGAACACGGGTTTGAACTGCTTAGGATTTTTTCCAGCAGTAAATAGTACAGGACTACACGCTCCGTGGCTGGTTGAATTTGCAGCTGCAGAAACGCAGATACAGAGGGACCCCACAAAGGGAGGGCTGACTAAATTACAGGCGGATTTTCCAAAGCACAGGGGAAGGGTTGAGGCCCCTAACCCCCTGAGGTTCACGGATCATCTGTACCTCTAAACCCATCTTGAGTGCGCACATGCTGTGCGTACCACACTTTGAGAAACACTATTTTCTCTGGCTTCTAAGCCCACCTCTATCACTAACTTACTGCATATGTGTTCCCTGTTGCACCCCATGCTTCACTTGTGCATAAAATGGGAGAGGTTAGATGTCAGACCTCTCCTGTTGTAATGGACGTGGACAGAGGTCTTTGCATGCTGGTTTGGCTTCCCTCTTGGTTCAGAAGTCTGGCTTAATCTATAAAAAGGTACAAATGAACTTATTTACAAAACAGAAATAGAGTCACAGGTGTAGAAAACAAACTTACGGTTACCAAGGGGGAAAGGGAGGGGGAGGGATAAATCGGGAAATTTGGATTGACATATACACATTACTACATATAAAATAGATAACTAATAAGGACTAATGTGACATTGTAAATCAACTATAGTCCAATAAAAAAAAATTTTTTTAATGCAAAAGAAAACAGAAGTAGCAAGAGCTATTGATATTAACTGTTTCTTTCAATTTAGGGGGAGAAAAGGAAATAGACTCTAAAAAAATAAACAAGGGAAGAAATAAGAAAAAGTAAATAAAAGTAATTAAAAACAGTTGTAATAATTTTTCATAACATATTGAATCCAACATATCAAAACATTATTATTTCAACATAATATTAAAAGCATGATTAATATTAAAAAATAAAATAGGTAACTAATAAGAACCTACTGTACAGCACAGGGAACTCTACTCAATACTCTGTAATGACCTATGTGGGAAAAGAATCTAAAAAAGACTGGATATATGTATATGTATAACTGATTCACTTTGCTGTACAGCAAAAACTAACACAACACTGTAAATCAACTATACTCCAATAAAAATTAATAAAAAATAAAAAGTACATTGCAAAAAAAAAGAAGTCTGGCTTTATCCAACCACTCAGAGTCATCGGGCCTTAGGAACTAGCTCTTATTAGTCAAACTCACAAGAGGCTGATCAATTTAAACCAGGGAAGTGAATGCATTAATTGACCTTGAGTTATTTGCCATACACTAGGCTGGAGTTCTCCACCAATAGAAGAACACATTTCCTCGCCAGCACTAGCGCAGGCTTTGAAAACTTACTAAGCTGCCCTGTTCAGGATAGAGAGGCCCATTGGGGTAACGGGGAAGTGTTGGCTTTGGAGAGGGTCTTGAGTTGGAATCTAGGCCTGCCTGTAAGAAGTTGTGTAACTGTGACTTACTTACCTTGCTTCTTGGAGGTTCATCATCTATAAAATGGGGATCATTACACTCACTTCGTAGGGTTGTGAAGATTAAATGATATACTATATGGAAAAGCGTGGCACAAAGTAGGTATTGATTAGTTGAGAGCTGGTGAGGGAAAGTGAAACATTTGATTGTGAAAGACTGAGGAGCAGGAACCGCTTCTAATTCAGGGGCTGCAAACTCAGATGCCAACAGGGGCCAGGCAGTTAATAACAATTGGGTGATAATGTCCAACATGAGAATACAGTCAGTAATAGTACATCTGGTGACAGATGGTAACTAGACTTACTGTCGTGATCATTTTGTAATGTATACAAACATCAAATCACTATGTTGTACACATGAAACTAATATATTGCGTGTCAAATATACTTCAATAGAAAACCTAATAATAATTGGGCCAATCAGGGCAGATATAAGATGGCAGATGTCTGAGAGCTCATGAAGAGGTGAGGATGTGGGTGACTTAGAGAGGGCAAGCCCTGGTGGAAAGGAGTGGTCTCTACTCAGCTCCAGCAATGGCCAGATCTTCTGACTTACTGAAGAGAAGCCAGACTAATGGATTTTTAGGTGATAACGCCTGATTTTAAACTGGCACCCAATTAAAATTTGCAAGCCAAGCAAAATATGGGTGGGGTTCATTGCTGGTCACCTGTTTGTGGCCTCTGGTCTAAATTAGCATTGCATTTCTTCCTGCTTTACCCACTGACCCGACGCAGTGCCTGTCGTACAGTAGATGTCGCTTAAGTGTATGTAGATTGAATGAACAGGTGCAGATAAACGTGGTGGAGAAATGAACAGTGACGATGGAGATCACTAAATTGGTGGTGCTGGGGGCTAGCCTGAACCCCAGAGGCTGTGTGCTTTAAACCCCTAACCCCTTCTTTCAGGTGCCTGAGCACCGCATTGCCCAAGGGGCTTTGTCCTCTGGTTGGCCAGCACTCATGCTTTGAAAAGAATTCATATGTCAGCTTTCTGCCGCCTGCATGCCCTTTGGATACCTGAAGTCGGGTCCCCGTCACCACGGAGGGCAGATGCTTCCCCTTCCCAGCATTCAGCACTATCACATCTTCCTGTTTTGTTCTCTTCATAGCACCTGTGACTCTTTATATCAGTGTCCATTTGTTTCCTTGTTTATTATCTAATACAAGCCCCATGAGGGCTGAGAGCTTCCTGTCTTATTCGCCGTGAGATCCCCGGCACCTAGAGAAGAGGCTCGCCACACTGTGGCTCCCCCAGGGGGCCATCATCTACCCTTTCATCAGCTGTTTCAGGACACCCTCTCTGGGCCAGGACCCTTCTCCAACTGAATCTCCTAAGGAGCCTGGGTTAGGCATTCTCTGCTCCTTTTTACAGGCGAGGGGCCTGCGTCTCAAAGAGAGGAAGTTCCTCGTCCAAGGTTGCACAGCTAGTAGGGATGGTGGTGGGAATTCAGACCCTGGTCTGTCCACCTTCCAGGTGCACCCTGACTTTGCCCTTGGCAGTGATGCCTAAGTAACAAGTAGGAGGCAGGGGAGCCGCCACCTCGTGACTCACTGAGCATTGGGTGAAGTGAAACCCGCCTCCTTCCCACGCCACCAGCCTGTTTCATTAACTTGACACAACTCCAAGTTGGCCTTTTACCGGAGGACGCGTCTTCTTGGAGGTGGACTTGCAGAGGAGCACCGGAGGGCGGTGCCGTGGTCCTAATTCTGCGCCTCCGTTTCATTATCTGGAGAGTGGGGATACTTTATTAGCTGACTCCTGGGGCTGTCGTGAGTTAATACAGTGACCGCTGAGAACATGCCTAGAACACAGTTAAATGCTCAACAAATATTAGCTATTATTTTATCAGAACGTCATTTATGGGGAAGTGTCCTCTAAGTGTTAAAGGAATTCTTGTTACATCATTTGAGCATCACCCACTGATGTTGTCCCGGATTCGAGGGTGCTTCCTATTGGATCCTATTGGGTGGATCCTATTGGGGATCCTCAACCCCTTAAGCTTGGACACTGAATGAATATTTCAATTTGGTAAATACTTTGATGTCCGTGATTCCATTTGAGCTAGTTGAGGCCTCAGGTTGGGTATGTGACTCTCCCTGGGTCAGATACTGATTGCTGCCGTTTATGGAGCCCCTTCCCCACCAGAGTATGCATAATTCCAAAGTCACCTGGTTAGCAGCAGGAGCCTGCTGCTGAGGCAGAGGCATGCGACTTGAGAGGCAGGACCCCTGATCCCAGGCCTCTGTCCTGTGCCCAGCTGCTCCCGCGGTCACGTGCTGCCTTTCCCTCCCCGTCCTCAGCTGTGAACACCACCAACACCAGCCAGGATGAGCAGCGCCAGTGGCTGAGCTGTAACCAGCAGGAAGAGATGCTCAACCTGGGCTTCACCATCGGCTCCTTCATGCTCAGTGCCACCACTCTGCCGCTGGGGATCCTCATGGACCGCTTCGGGCCCCGGCCCATGCGGCTGATTGGCAGGTGAGGTGGCTGGGCTGTGGGGAACTGGAAGGGCCTTTGGGGAGCTGCAGGGCAGGACTGGTGCGGCAGGGGGAGGGGAGGCACAGAGTGTTCAGCCCCTCCCCCTTCCGCTGCATCTCCACAGCGCCTGCTTCGCTGCATCCTGCACCCTCATGGCCCTGGCCTCTTGGGACACCAAAGGTGAGATGTCTGGCCTCTCGTGTCCCCACGGGAAAAGAATGGGTGGGATGAAGGTGGTGTTACCCCAGCTCCTGCCTTTAGCCTCCCACAGCTCCCCAGTGCCTCATTCATCCCTCTCTGCTTCCCAGTTCTGTCTCCGTTGATATTCCTGGCACTGTCCCTGAATGGTTTTGGTGGCATCTGCCTAACATTCTCTTCACTCACAGTGAGTATGACAGGTCCCGACTCGGCAGTAGGGCACCCAGGAGTGAGTGAGGGTGAGGGTGGGAGAAGGGCCTGTGTACGCAAATCAAATGCACGTGTGTGTGTGTGTGTGTGTGTGTGTGTGTGTGTGTGTGTGTGTGTGTGTGTGTGTGTGTGTGTCCCAAGCCCATACATCCGTTGAACTCTGTCCTGGGGCCACAGCACAGACAGAACTGACAATTTCTTCACCTTTCTGGAACTTATATTCAGGAATTGGGGGAACAGACAACCCTAAAAACAAGTAAACTAATGAATGATATCCCTAGTCACAAGTGCTGGAAAGAATAAAACTGGGTAATGCGAAAGTAAGGGCGGTGGGCAGCTTGAGACAGTGGGCATGTGTTTGTTTGCCACGTTGTGATATATGTGGTGATGTCCATGGGTAGGTAGATGGATTTGTGAGTGTGTTAGATTGAACCATGTAATACTGCCGACACTTGACTGTGCTTGACCTACAGAAAGGGCTTTTTCACTTGGCTTGACCTCTTACATGTGTGTTTGGCGTGTGTTACTCTAAGTGTATATGCGAGTGAGTGTGCAGAAGGGTTAAAGCCTTCAGCGTGTGTGGTGGGAGGAGGGGTTCCTGGCCGGCCAGCCTCGGGCTGTTTATCTCAGAGGAGGGCCGCCTGACCGCCAAACTGGGTGTTTTTTGGCTGAATTTCACCTCGCCCAGCAACTGCCTTTAATTCCAGCCCAGGACATTTCACAACTTTCTAAGGAAGCGGATCGCTTCATCCCCGCCTCCCTCCGCAGCCCCTTCTCCACGCTGCGCTCCCTGGCTCAAGGCCCTAAAGCCTTTCTCTCCCCTGCCCTCTGGGGCCTAACCTTGAACCCTGCCCTGGGGCCTAGGGGTCTCTCCGCCCGCAGCCCGCCCCCTGCTCTGCCACCGTAATCTCCAACCAATGACAGGACCCGGCTCCGGTCCCGCCCCCGGCTCCGGGCCTAGGTGCTCGCGGGCCAGGACAGATCCGAGCCGGGACCGGCCCAGCCAGGCCCGCCTAGGCCGTGCTGGGCGGAGACAGCGCTCTCGGACCCTGGGGGGGTGGGGGGTGGGTAGTGAGGGGCGCCAAGGCCCTAGCGCTTCTCCATGGCGTCCTTGCAGCCTGCCTCGCGCAGACAGGGTGCCAGGGGGTCAGGGCGGCCCCAGCGGTTTTTCAGAGCCGCTTCAAGGTTGATGGGTCAGTTCTCTGTGTTTGTTCGCCTTCTTCCTCTCCAGAGCTATTTGAGATCCCCTTCTGGAGCCCCGTTCTTCCCTCTGTGGAGAGGGTTTTAGCTTTGTATGGCATCTGAGACGCTTCCAGCTGTGGGATCTGTTGACTGGGGGGAGGAGGGAGAGGTGGGAGCACACAAAGGGCTGTGTGACTTTGCTTTCCCCTCCCCTGAGGGCCCGGCTCAGGCCAGTGAGTAGAACACGCAGTCAGTTCTCTACTGGTAGGAATTCTGGGCCTGCCCTGCGGGTCAGAGCCTACTCTTCTGGACACCTGGCCCGGCCCTGTTTCCCCCCTACTCCCACCCTCACCTCCCTAGTTGTCCTGTTACGTGCCCTGGCTCAGTAGAAACCAGGGACTGGGGGCCTCTGGGGCCACCGAGAAGGTTAAGGGGCACCATCCTGTTACAGAGCCAGCCATGGTCACAGCCTTGGGTTCTGGGATAGAACTCGGATGGCCAGGACAGGGGAGAAAGTAACGTGCTCTGTGAGCTTGAGTACGTTCCTTTCCCGCTCCAGGCCTCAGTGTTCTCATCTGTCAAAGGAGTTGCTGTAGGTTAGTGTTTCTTAAACACCTAACCCATGGGTTATTAAGAGGCGAGACATTATTAAGGGGTTCCATAAAAAAGTAACCTGGGGGCTTCCCTGGTGGCGCAGTGCTTGAGAGTCCGCCTGCCGATGCAGGAGACGCGG